CATGCCTACCCCATTCCAGTTTCTGCAAACCAGAAAGCCTCTTGGACGCCGGCCACAGCCCAGCAACGAGGTTCCTCTACCTTGCGCCGCCATAACGGCGGGACACGGAAGCAACAGTCCGACCCCGAAAGTCCCGCCCCCAACAGGGCGGCCCTCCCAGAAACGCCCCTCTCCTAGACTGCCACTGGTCAGAGTCCCACAGACGCCCGGAAATGCCCGTCTCCTGAGCTCTCATTGGTCAACACTGGTGTGGCCACTGGACCGTCTTTTTGATTAATGTAGTTAGTGTCGCGTAAGCTGTGCGGCGTGGCGCGCCCTTCCTGATCACCTAGGCAACGTTCAGGTGGCCCCACGATTGGCGCAGGGAAAAGCGTCATAGTCAACCGCGAGCCTCGAGCCAGTGAAGGATCAGGGTTTGGGCGTTTCCGCGTGGGCAGCTGAGGGTGGGGCGGGACTTCCGGCGTCGCCATTGACATCTTCGTTTTGTGGCGGGTCGGGCTGTCCAGTGACGGCAGCTGGAATGCGTGGCAAGGGGGTCGGGGCCGTGCTGGGACCCTCACTGCACCTTTGCACGCAGTTTTACCCCGGTGACGGCCCCGCCTTCCTGAGCGTGGGTTTTCCGTGAGACTCCACGCACTTTTGTCCCACATTCCCTGGGGGCAGCTCCCATTTCATACCCGGCAAGACTGAGGCCCTGAGTGCAACCCTAAAGCTGTGGTCACCCTTTCCAGTGGCTGTGGAGGGGTTCGGATGAGCCCGCGGAGCTCATCCTGGTAGCCATCTCTCACGGCCCCATCCTCCCACAGGCTCTGACCGGGCTTGCAGGGTCGGGATGGACCCGGCGCAGGTGAGTGGTGAGGATGCCAAGTCACCCGCTCGGATCCCCACCCTCATGATCCTGGAGCTCTGGTTAGGGAATGATGGTGGCCCGGACTCTTGGCCTGCACACGAGTCTGGTGCCCTCAGAGCCACTTTCCCCTAGCATCCTGAACCCAAGCCAGAGGTTGTACGGAGATGGGGGATCACATGCGGTAAGGTCTGGAAAGCTCCTTGGCACAGGGACCAGCATATGTACATTGCTTGGAGGTATCAGGTGGAAGTGTTCAGGGAAACCACAGGTGTCCATTACATCTGGTGTAAGTAAAAAGCAGGAGAACTGGAGGCAGGTCTGGAGTGGCCGACTGAGGTGCTGGGCCTCTATTCTCAGTGTGGTGCGAGTCATGGGAAGTTTCGAACGGGGGCGGGGGGGAATGGTGATGCAACTCAGTTCTTAACAAGGTCCTTCTGGATGCTGGGTGAAGAGACTGGGAGGTGGATTGAATTGAGACAGGAAGACCATCCAGGAGGTGACTACAGTAGTCCAGGTGAGGGCTTTTGGTGGCTGGAGCAGAGGTGTGCCTGTGGAGGTAGAAGTGGTTGGCTCCTGGATGTGCTCTTCCAGTAGGGTGGGCTAGATTTCCTCATGTAGGGCAGTGAGATAGCATCGTTGACTCTGGTAGGTTTTTTAGATGTGGAAGTTGCTTGGAGTAGATTTCAGAGAGAATGTAAAGAATTGGGTTTTGGCTGCATTGTATTTGAGGTGTCCCAGAGACAGCCAAATTGAGGTGCCAAGTGTGCTTTTGGCCAGGTCCCGGCCGGAGACTTCCAAGGGGTGGAGCCTTGTGTTTACACACTTGGTGCAGCCGTGAGTTGGGTTCAGGATGGTGACGAAGCCTCTGAGTAGACAGTAGATCTGGAATGAACAAATGAAGCATAGAAGTAACTGAGGCGGGATGACAGTGCGGCCCAAAGCAAGCTTGTTTTACCTCTCTACAGCTCACCAAGTGTTTGTGGCCAGCCTCCTTGGGGGCTGGGGGTTTTGTTAGGCTGCTGGAGTGGCAGGGACACAAAAGGTCAATCCAAGCTAAGAGTCCCCAAGCCAAGGGTGGGGGCCAGCGGAGCTGGGATTTGTATATTAGGAAAGACAGCTGTGACTGTGAAGGGACAGCATATTCAAGGC